AAAAAAAAAAAAAAAGAAAAAAAAAAAGAAAAAAAGAGCATGAAAATGAAAATTTCTTCCATGTTCATTTCACATTCCCTTTTTCATCACATATTTCATTTCAACCATCACTATTTCCATTTCATAGCTCAAAAAAAACAAGTGCATAAAAATGAAAATGAAAATTTCATTCACTTGCAGTTTGCATTGCATCTTCCATTTTACATTTCATTTCAAGCATTATTATCTTTCATTGTCTTATACTTTATAAAAATTGCATAAAAAAAAATCTTATCCATGTTCAGTTCTCATTAAATCCCATTTTTCATTGCAACTCATATTCGACCTTACATCACATTTTCCATCCCATGTCAAATTTACATTCATTTCATGCTCATTTCATGTTTAGAATAAAATCAAGTTTGATCCTCATATTTTCTTGTTCTTCAATCAAGTCCTTTAAGTTATGATTTTCAAAAAAAAAAAATGTACAAGCTCTCATTTGAAGAAGTTCTCACCATCTTGCATTTTCTTGCATGTTTCAAACTTGTGGGCCTTATTCAGCAAAATTCAAAGCATTTCACATTTTTTTTAAAAAGAAAAAGAAAAAGAAAACAGAGGTTCTTCCAAGATAAATTCATGAAAAATCCATCTTTTAGACATCAAAATAATTTGAGCACATGATTTTGGAGCATCACATCATCCATTTTCTGCAAGCATTACACCATTCACTTTTTCTTCAAGCTTCATGGCATAAGGAATGCTATTTCCTATGAATGCCAATTTAATGGGTTGCAATAGTGAATCACCAGCTTCTCCTTTGAAATTTGCTTGGCATACTTAATGAAGAAAGATTCATACAACTTCACACATTACCACTTGTCAGCATGTTCATATTCTTGCATCCTTCATCTCTCATTTCACATCCATGTTTATTTCTTTTCTTGCATTCCCAAAAATGCACGCTTTAGGATACAACTCCACACACATTATCACTTTAGAGCACATTCATGTTCCTTCATCCTTTGTCTATTGTTGAGCATCCATGTTTATTTCTTGTCTTGCATACCCATAATCTTGTTTGATTCTCTACCTTCGACAATTGAAATATGGATTCATACATGGTCAAGCGTGATTCTTCATCAGTCAAGACACCATTGAAATATTCATCCATGGAGAAAGCTTCGACCAACAAAGGATTCAGGAGATCTTCAACTGCAAGCATTTTTCTCCTATCATTCACAATTGCCAAGTCCAGGGGGCAAGCTTAGAAGGACAAGAACCAAGAGCAGCCTCGAAGATCAAAAACTCAAGCACATCACACTTCACGTTGCTTCAACAATCAAGGGATTCATCAAGGAAAAGAATGGAACTTCTCATTAGACAATTGTACTTTGAAAGATCTAGGAGTCAGATTTTACTAGGGACTTGAATGCTACCGTATTGATGTACTTAGTGTGATGTACTAGGCTTCTGCTTTGTAATGAATGACCATCATTGTAATGCATGTTGAATTGCTTGTAAGTGTCTACAGCCCTTTTAGTCTGAGGGAAATCTCAATGCGTTCAAAGATATTTTGCTTCATCTGACGCTCCTTGAGGATTGGAAATCGACAATGTGTGAATCCACATAGCAATTGTTGAAGCACTAAATCATGCAAAATTATGGGATGACTTCTAACATTATTCTGACTTTGTTTATTTTTCTTTTACTTTTTGTTTGCAGGTAGGTTTCATAAACTACTTCAAGAACAAAAACAAAAAAATCAGGCATAATAGTCTCCCTATGTTTTCTCACTCTTTGGAGCAATGCATCATCCATCTAGAAGGCAACCTTCAACATACTCTTATAAGCTCACCAAGATATGATGTTGAAGTGGATTTACACACGAGACATGTGAATCTAGATTCAATGAATGAGGGGGCAAATCTAGGACATGGGGAAATTTGAGTATTATTGCTCTTAAGGATGAACCCCTATTTGACCTGACCATTACTTCTGCCTTGGGGACACTTTGACCAATTGGACAGTCAAGCTTTTCT